AGAAGAAGAAGAAGAAGAAGAAGAAGAAGAAGAAGAAGAAGAAGAAGAAGAAGAAGAAGAAGAAGAAGTAGTTGAAGTTGCAGGTAACCCCTGCTGTACCGCACAACCTGAAGGAATGCCCAGTCGCCCCACAGAAAGGGGGCCAGCCTCCTGCCTAACTATAGTATGCACAGATATGTCATGGTGGCTTCAGAGATTGATCTAGATGGGAGAGAACAGACGTGTCTCATTGAGGCCACACTATGACTGGTCTGACTGGCAGTGTCCACATGACTTTAATTTTATAGAAAGTTAAAATGACTCTATATAGTGACAGAATGTGTCTGCAAATAAAATCAGAACAATCTCACAAAGAAGAGTCTGGAGGAAAATGGGAGAACTGAGGCATGCTGAAAGCTCACACCAGAAGGAACGATGACTAGAGTCTTGGAAGGAAAAACCAAGGATGGAGAATTGTTTTAAGATAATCCTAACTGAATGAGGTTTGAGCATCTTACCCAGGGTCCTCTTTCTTGCTTAGCTTCTTTAGGTGTACAGATTTTAGTATGTTTATCCTATCTTATATGTTTAATATCCACTTAAAAGCGATTATATGCCATATGTGTCTTTCTCCTTCTGGGATACCTCATTCAGAATGATCTATTCTAGTTCACACCATTTGCCTGCAAATTTCAGAATTCCCTTGTTTTTAATTGCTGAGTAGTATTCCATTGTGTAAATGTACCACAACTTCTGTATCCATTCCTCAACTGAGGGACATCTGGGTTGTATCCAGATTCTGGCTATTACGAATAAAGCTGCTATAAACATGGTTAAGCAAATGTCCTCATTGAGAAAGGCAAACAGGATAGACATTGGAAGAGGGAGAAAACAGGGCACAGGACAGGAGTCTACCACAGAGGGCCTCTGAAAGACTCTACTCATCAGGGTATTAAAGCAGATGCTAAGACTCATGGCCAAACTTTGGGCAGAGTGCAGGGAATCTTATGAAATAAGGGGGAGATAGACTGGAAAGGGAGAGGAGCACTACAAGGAGAGCAACAGAACCAAAAAAATCTGGGCCCAGGGGTCTTTTCTGAGACTAATACTCCAACCAAGGACCATCCATGGAAATAACCTAGAACCCCTGCTCAGATGTAACCCATGGCAGCTCAGTGTCCAAGTGGACTCCCTAGTAAGGGGAACAGGGGCTATCTCTGACACGAACTCAGTGGCTGGCTCTTTGATCACAACCCCCTGAGAGAGGAGCAGCCTTACCAACCCACAGAGGAAGACAATGCAGCCAGTCATGATGAGACCTGATAGGCTAGGGTCAGATGGAAGAGGAGAAGGACCGCCCCTATCAGTGGACTAGGGGAGGAGAATGGGAGGAGAAGAGGGAGGGAGGGAGGGAGGGAGGGAGGGAGGGAGGGAGGGAGGGAGGGGCTGGGAAGAGGGAGGGGGCTACAGCTGTTATACAAAGTGAATAAATTGTAATAAATAAAAAAATTTTTAAAAGAAAATCCTAAAATGAGAGGTCTCACTGAAAGTCTCAATAGACCACAAAGTGGTACACAGCCTGGAAACAGGCATTCTAGAATAGAAGGAAGAAAACAACAGACTGAAGTTGAGAGACAGAGGTGAACTGTAGAGAAACTCTAGTTGTCTCTGCTCAGTAACATGGGCACCAGGAGAATAAGTGTTCTCACCTGTGCTTTGAGGAACACTAGTTCAAACCTAGAATTTTTAGTTTGTTTTCTGAGACAGGGTTTTTCTGTGTAGCCCTGGCTGTCCTGGAACTTGATCCATAGACCAGGCTGGCCTCGAACTCAGAGATCTGCCAGCCTCTTCCTTTGAGTGCTAAGATTAAGGGTATGCACCACCACTGCCTAGCTGCAAACCCAGAATTCTATACCTAGCCAGACTATCATGGCAAGGGAGCGGGGACAGGTAGGTCTCAGAAGTGTGGCCACTGCAGGATGTGGAGTCTCTAGCCTTGGAGTCACAGCAAAATGAAAATGGAGAAAGCTCAGAGTCTCACCGGAAATGTGGAGTGTCCAGGAGGACTAGGCATGGCAGAGGGAGACACCAAACCCTACCCAAGCACTGTAGTAGCCCTCACAAGGCACAGGTGATGCAGGGGTCATTTCCAGCTTCCTGCCAAGAAGCCACTGAGTAAATTGTGCTGTGTAAGACTTGGTCTCGCTAACATTTGGAGAGGGGCAAGACACCCTGGCTGTAAGCCTCTGAGTGAGTTGTGTTATGTAAGTCATGTGTTTTTCACTTTGCCTATGTTTTAAAATGTTTAAGGCAATAGTAATAACAATCATAATAACAAGTCCCAGTCACGTAGGCACAGGATGACAACCCAGCACCCTTTGCCATGGAGCCCTGCTCACCTCCAAAACCCCACAGGGGAAGTGTCCTCAAATGTTTTCCATGCTTTCAGCACAGTCAAAACAAAAACAAACATGGGTGAGGCGTACACACTGCCGACGACTGACGCTAATAAGGAGGCTCCAGCAGCCAGCAAACAGGAAGGAAAGCCTGAGGAGTTTCTCACCAGGACAACACCAGCCAGGGGAGGTATAAAAGCTGACAGCCAGCCCCTCACACTCACACACTCACACTTTCACAGCTTCTACCAGACCTGCCCGCCATGACCACCTCCACCATGTCCATCTGCTCCAGTGACCTGAGCTATGACAGCCGAGTCTGCCTGCCCGGTTCCTGTGATTCTTGTACTGACTCCTCCTGGCAGGTGGACGACTGCCCAGAGAGCTGCTGTGAGCCCAGCTGCTGCCAGCCCAGCTGCTGCCAGCCCAGCTGCTGTGTCCCCAGCTGCTGCCAGTCTAGCTGCTGTGTCCCCAGCTGCTGTGCCCCAGCCCCCTGCCTGACCCTCGTCTGCACCCCAGTGTCCAGCCCCTGCTGCCAATCTTCCTGTTGTACACCCTCATGCTGCCAGCAGTCTAGCTGCCAGCCAGCTTGCTGCACCTGCTCCCCCTGCCAGCCAACCTGCTGTGTGCCTCTCTGCTGCAAGCCTGTCTGCTGCACACCCATCTGCTCTGGCTCCTCCTCATGCTGCCAGCCGTCTAGCTGCCAGTCCTCATGCTGCCAGCCCTCATGCTGCCAGCCCTCATGCTGCCAGCCCTCATGCTTCCAGCCTTCCTGCTGTGTGCCTGTCTGCTGCAAGCCCGTCTGCTGCACACCCATCTGCTCTGGCTCCTCCTCATGCTGCCAGCCATCCTGCTGTGCTCCTGTCTGCTGCAAGCCCTGCTCCAGCATGTCCCTGCTCTGCCGCCCCGTGTGCAGACCCGCCTGCTGCCTGCCCACCTCCTCCTGCTGTGCCTCCTCCTGCCAGCCCAGCTGCTGCCGCCCAGCCTCCTGTGTGTCCCTGCTCTGCCGCCCTGCCTGCTCCCGCCAGGCCTGCTGTGGTCTCTCCTCGGGCCAGAAGTCCAGCTGCTGACAAGCTGGCTCTCTTAGCCTTTGCAGGCTCCATCTTTGTTCCTAAGCAATTCTCCACTCTCCGGAGCCTCTGGAAGCTTCCTGGGGCCACGAGAGTCGTTTCACTATGCATTGGGGGCTACAGAGCTGCCGCCTAATGGGGTCTGAAGGGGCCACCCAGTCCCTCCCCCTATTCCTCTGTGACACAGAGAGTAGCCCCAGAAGCCCCTTCTCATAACCATGCCTTCACACCAGATGTGACAGGTCCACTGCCATGTTCAATAAAGTGTTCACGCCAGGAGCTATGAGTGGTGTGCATTTTTCTAGAGTGTTCTGGGTCTTCAAGCCAGACATTGCCTGGTAAAGCCGACACAGAAAGATTCTCCAATGCCAAATCAGAACACCAAAATAAAACCTAAGGCAGGTGTGTCTGTCTGACAGTCTCTCCACGTGGCTACAGACTGAGAACACACACACTGGGGTGGGGGGCTTCCAGGTCAGGGGGCCTTAAAATGGGGTTCCACCCACCTGCCTCAGATCGCCAGAGTGTGAAGATCGGCTCCTACTGTGATGGTCCCACTAGAGTTTAAGGCCTGCCCGAGGAAGGACAAGAAGAAAGGATACCTGGAAACAGACTCCCAGGATGGCGCAGAGTACAAGACTGGGTTCCCTGTGGACTACAAAAATGGAGAGTCAACTGTGCACCATCAGACCAGCCAGGGAAGCCAGTGTTCTCCTCAGCCCCGTGCTGAGAGCTGACTGGATGAGGTAAAGCCAGAAGACAGCAAGATCGGGACACATGGGCAGCAGCAGAGACACCTCCATGGGACTGACAAGGTCTATCCTACCCCAGCTGAACTCTTCTCCATAGGAGGAGTTGAGCAGAACCCCAAAGAGAAGGACCTCTGAACACGGAGGGGCCAAATCTGAAGTTGTACTGTTCCTGCTCGCTGGGTTCATTCCTACCCTGCAGCCATAACTTGGTTATTCTAATATTCCAAAGGGAATGGCCATTCCCTGGGTACAGGGAGGAAGGCCTCCCTTGTGCCCTGCTCAGCTTCCTGGTCCATGACAAAACACCTAAGGAAATCAGTGTGGAGAGAGGACAGTTTGGCTTAAGCTCACAGTTTCATCTCTGATCTGTCATTGCTTCGAGGTGTGTGATAAGGACGTAAAGCAAGTGAGAGAGGACCTAGCCAGGGTCCATGGGCTTCTCCAGGGCACAGAGTCCATCATGGAAGATCCTGGGTGAGTGAGGGCCACGGGTGAGCTACACTGGTGAGGCCCTGTCCATACAACTCCTCATTTCCCAACCTTCTGGATTCCTCGAGTGCCAGCAGTCAGCTCCCTGACACCAGCAGCATCGGGGGACCTGAGTTCAAGTCCTAACACCCACAAAGCAGCTCATAGCCACTTATAGGTCCAACTCTGGGGGTCTCAATTCCCTCTTTTGACCTCCTCAGCCACCAGATACACATGTGCAGACATACATGTGGGTAAAACAGCCATAAAATTAAGGCACGTGCCATTAAAATGTGAGAGAAAACCAAATAATTGGCAGGTGAAGGAATTAAAATGTTTTAATTTAAAAAATTCAGTAAGACAAAACAAGCAATCACTGCCTCCACACCCCGCCTCCAGTTCCTGGTCTACACAATAAGTAGGTGTTTGCTTTCTAATTCTTCTTCCTGGCCTCCACCTCTAAGCAGCATGCTCTCGGTGCTGTTTTAGTAGTTTCATCATAGGCCTTGTCCAGCGATGCTTCCGGAGAGAATGAAGACACAGCTTTCTTTCTCTGCTCCCTCCCAGGACCCGGCACACCGAGGCTTGCCTATGAGCTTTGTGTCTTGGTTAGAATACTATCAGGTGGAGTCTGGCAGCTGCCCTTTCACCTTAAGCCCCTGCACAGCCTCAGGCAGACACGGCTCTCAGACACTTGACACTAGCCTTCAGCCTCCTGAACAAGAGACAATGGTTTTCTGCTGCTCTAAATGACCCCACGGTCAGCCTGGCACCTGTCTCAGCCCTGGTCTTCTCCTTTTCTTCCTACCTACCCCAAGATGAGCTAGCTCTGGCTAGAAGCCAGGATCACCAGGCCGGGGTTGATAAGTACACTCCAAGCTGCAAAAGGACGAAGGACTTGGTGGCTTCCAACATTGTAGATGACCAACAGCACAGCTGAGGAGGCTGCTCATCCAGATAGGGTCTTCCTAGCTAGGCATGGGCATAGCTCCTCAGGAGAACGGTTTTGGGGGTCTCTTTAGCTTCTGCTCCCACTTGTCCCTCCCTGTGCAGAGCTGGCCCCTCAGTGTCCAGCCACCCTCTTGCCTCCCTCAGATGCCGTTCTGTGGTGACCCTGGGCCTCTACAAACCCCATGATACTGCACCCTTCTGTGACGTCCTTCTGCCCTGTGAGAACATGAGCATAGGTTCTAGGAGCAGGGGCTGTCACTCAGCCCTGAATGAAGGCTTGGTTCATTCATTCTTCCAAAGAGGAAGAAGGATAGGAGTGGTGGAGGTTCAAGTTAAATTCTTGACTGAAGGGGCTTCAGGCTCTGGCTTGTTGCTAAGCAGAGACCGAATTACCGTCAGGGACCCAAGATGCTAGCTGTTAGGCTTCTCCCAGCCTCCCTCCATTCTACCTGCTGCAGAGTGTGGCTGGCATATGCCGTCCTCTACCCTGAACTTTCCAGCCCAGGGGCAAGGTTTCCCTTCCTCTTCCCTATATAATCTAGACATTGTGGTTGTTCTCTCTTCTCTCAGTCTCTCCTCTCTCTCTTTTTGTGTCTCTCTTCCTCTTCTCCACTCTCCTTTTTCTGCATGATTCTCTCTCTCATGATCTCTCTTTTTTTTCTCTCTCTCTCTTCCCCCTGCCTCCTTCCCTCCCTACTCCCTTCACGGCAGCAAAGAGCTGCTTCAAATAAACCTGCATTTACATACTTTCACTTGTATCAAATTAGCACGTATCGCCACCTTTCAAGCATGCTCATCACTAGCAAATGCCCTCTGCTACACACACACACACACACACACACACACACACACACACACACACCCCTCACCAAAGCAGCAGCAGGAATAAAGTGGAACAGCCCAGTGTCCCTTAAGGGTGGTCACCCTGCTGCTGACCTGGGTCCTGAGTCCCTCTGTGGAGAAGCTTTACGGTTCTCAGGGACCAACCACCCTGAGCAGTATGGAAGACGGCAGTGAGGCACTACACGGAATGGCACGCCTACCACTGCTGCTTATCACGTGTTTGCAGAGAGCGGTTAAGGGCTGAAGGACGTGGGGGCAGTCACCTGCGCCACTTGCTGCCCCAGTGGCCTGGTACAAAGGAGGCAGGCTGTGCCCTCGGGTTTGGGAGGCCTACGTAGAGCCGTGAGTAACAGCCTGGTGGAAAGGCAGTCTTGCAGCTGTCCCCATCTCTTAGCTGGGATGGCTACAGAGGTCACAGGCTCAGCTGCCAGGCTAAAGGGCTGCAGGGGAGGAGTCTGCAGAGTGGCATGGGCAAGTAGGCTGGCAGCACCCAAGGTATAGCAGGTCACAGGAACACACAATAGGCAGCTCACAGGCATGCAGCAGGCCGCCGGACAGGGTGTCTTAGTCAGGGTTTCTATGGCTGCAATAAGATACTGTGACCGAAAAGCAAGTTGGGGGGGGGGGCGGCGGCGAGGGGTTTATATGGCTTACACTTCCATGTTGCTGCTCATTGTGGAAGGAAGTCAGGCCAGGAACTCAAACAGGGCAGCATCCGGGAAGTAGGAGGCTGACATAGAGGCCATGGAGGGGTGCTCCTTATGGCTTGCTCCCCATGGCTTGCTCAGCCTGCCTTCTCATAGAACCCAAGACCAACAGTCCAAGGATGGTACCACCCATAATGGGCTGGACTTCCCACATCAATCATTGATTAAGAAAATGCATTATATCCGGCCCTCATAGAGGACTCTCCACAACTGAGGGTCCCTCCTTTCAGATGACTCTAGTTCATGTGTCTAGTTGACGTAAGATCGGCCAGCACACAGGGGCTTGGCCCACAGAAGGCCTCGCAGAAGGGAGCCTAGTACATATAGACCTGGACAGCAGGGCCACACAGGGTCTAGGAGGCAGCAACAGCTTCCGCAGCCCTGGGCTTGGCAACAGTTGTGGGGCTCCCGTACAAGGAAAACAGGGCAGGAAGTCCCTCATTCACGCTGCTGGAAAGCTCTCCAGGCTTTCTGCAAGCACACAGCTGTATTTGCTGAAGGAACAAACGAATCCCTGCAATCAGTCACTGCACAATAGGGTTGGTGTAATGGTTAGACAGTCAAGCATACAGAGTCGAGACTTATGGCCAGCCTCTGAGCATGCCTTCTAGGGACTGTCTCAGTCACATGAATTGAAGTAAAAGGCCAGTCCACAGTAGGAGGTGCCACTCACTGGGCTGTGTAAGTGGAGAAAGAAGCTGGGCGGCGGCGGCTTTCATCTCTGCTTTCCCAGACCAGCGTTTCAAGCTCTTGCTCACTTGCCCACCAAAACAAATCCTTTCTCCCTTAAGTTGCTTCTGTAAAGCGTTTTTAACCACAGCAGTAGAAGAGAAACCGAAACAGCTAATTTCGGGTTAAGGGGTGTTGACAAATGTTGTAAACTTTCTGTAACCACTCGGGCCCTGCCAGCATGATCTGAGCATAACAGCTGGCGACACATATGCACAGAGGCATGTGCTTGTCAATAAAACTTTATTTACAGGGACAGGAAGCATGCCGAATTTAGCCTATAGATCCTAGTTTCTCAGCTTCTGTGTTACAGTTTTGCCTTTTACAACGGAAATTCAAAATAAATAACAATGATTAATTACAGTATTACTGCAAGGCCTTCCTTGACAGAACAAGCTGGGAAAGAACAGGATCCTACACTCAATCCAGCCAGTGTCACTATGGACTCAGCGGTGGCCTGAGAAACAGCAGTACAAAATGCATGTGAGTCAAGCCTGAATATCCTGTTTATGGAAGAAGAAGTTGGCCTCAAGCCAAAGTTGTCTATGGAGAGCATAACTCAGGAAGATGCAGCCCAGAATAACAAGTCGCCAAGGAACAAGTGATGGAAACAACACAGGGAAGACCAGATGCATTCTGGGTAGTTGGAACATAGAGCTGAGTATAAAAGCCACCCCCAAAAGGAATGCCAGGCATTCCTACCCTCCTCCAGTCCAGTCAGCACCTGCCACCATGTGCCACACCAGTTGTTCCTCAGGCTGCCAGCCAGCCTGCTATGTGTCCAGCCCCTGCCAGCCAGCCTGTGTGCCTTTGAGCTGCAGGCCTGGCATATGCGTTCCTGTAAGATGCCAGGTGACCTGCTGTGTGCCCGTGAGCTGCAGGCCCACTGTGTGCATGGCCCCCTCGTGCCAGTCCTCTGTGTGTGTGCCTGTGAGCTGCCGGCCTGTCTGTGTGACCTCCTCCTGCCAGTCATCTGGGTGCTGCCAGCCCTCCTGCCCCACCCTGGTCTGCAGGCCTGTCACCTGTAGCACCCCCTCCTGCTGCTGAGCAGTGTCTCCAAGCCAGCCGCTGCCAGACGGGACACAGCTGTCCCCTCCCAACTCTAGTACTCTATGAGGCAGGTGCGAAGCGTGTCCTGGAATTGTGGAGAGCCAGTGCAGAAGAATAATCCAGTTTCTGCCTGCTCCTGACCAATCACCAGGGATGCCCTGAATCCTGGTGTCTCTCTGTATCCTTTGAGCGAAATAAATTGCTTTCTATAAAGCTTGTGCTCTCTTTCATCCCCATATACTTTTCAGGATAGGGGACTGAGACAGGTTGTCACTTTGTAGCCTTGGCTAGACTAGAGCTCACTACATACACCAGGCTGACCTTGAACTCACAAAGACCTGTCGCCTCTGCCTCCCAAGTGTCTATATACTTTTTTAAAAATAAAAGACTTACTTTTATTTTATGTATATAGGTGGCGTTCTGCTTACATGTCTGTGTACCACATGAATACATTGCCTGTGGAGGCAAGGAGAGGGTGTCTGATCCTCTGGAACTGGGGTTACAGAAGGTTGTGAGCCACCGTGTGGGTGCTGGGAATCGAGCCTGGGTCCTCTGAAAGAGCAGCTAGCTCTCTTAACTGCTGGGCCATCTTCCTAGTCCCTACATATGACAATCCCAATCCATTGTCAAAATGCAGAGTAAACCAAAAAAAAATCAGACTCAAAAATGGCACAGGGGTAGGGTCAGGACACACTAACTCTAAAATACCTCTCCTTTGGTGTGTTAAAATGTTACTTTTGTATGAACCGATGGGAATTTAAAACTAAGAATCAAATGGATGCAGTCAGAGCCAAACTGTACCATGAAAGATGAGTCCCTTCATACACTCAAGGATACACTTGATGTAGGCAAAGGCGAAGTCTCGGATGGGAAGATGGGTGGAATAGAAGGGTCAAAATGTAAGTACGAAGAGAAAGATGGTCAGGGCAGGAGGAGGCAGAAACAAGACAGCAAGGCACTCTGTGGTGACGAATCATCATCCATGGATGAAAGTGTGTAATCAGCATGGCTGGAAGGAGCAAGAACATTCTAAGAAAGGCCCATGTCTCACTCTGGCTATCTGGCCTGTGGAAACAAGATGCCCAAGGCAACTGGAGTTCCCTGGGAATCTCTGTCTCGGAAATAAAAGGCTGACACCTGGGGCCAGACAGAAGAGAGCTCATGCAGACAATCTATTGCACCATCTTCTAAGCCAGGCTGAAGCTGGGATAGTGAGGGTGTGTCACAGTGGGAAGGGCCACCCTTTGACCAGGGCTGCTTAATTTTGTATACATCTTCTCCATCTAAACCTTACCCTCATGTTAGGACCAAGAAGATGGACTTGAGGGCAGGGGTCACTGGATCTTTCTATATTTCTTCCCAATGTGGCCACATTGAAGTGGTCTCCTTTTTTTCTGATTTTTTTTTTTTTTTACTATTACTTATTTGTTTCATTGGCTTCTTAAGGATGGGCAACCACATCTGAATTATTGGGACTACCAGGGCCAGGCTCTGACAGTTAATAACCCTAATAACACATGTAATGTCACAGGAAGAAAGAGGGGAGGGGAGGGGAGGGAAGAGGAGAGGAGGAGAGAAGAGAAGAGGAGAGGGGAAAAATGGGAGAGGGAGAGACAGGAAGGAGAGGAGAAGAGATGGAGGGGAGGATGGAGGGAGCATGGGAAGGAAGGAAAGTAAAAGGACAGGATGGGAAAAGAGGAGAGGAAAGGAAAGGAGGAGGGAGAGAGAAGAGGAGAAGAGATGGTGGGGGAGAGAGGAGAGGGATAGGAGGGGAGGAAGATAGGAAGTGAGGAGAGAGGGAGGAGAAGAGGGAGAGAGAGAAGAGGAGGGAAGGGAGGAGGAGAGAAGGAGGAGGAAAGAGGAGAGTAGCAGAGAGAGAGAAGAGGAGGGAAGGGAGGAGGAGAGAAGGAAGAGGAAAGAGGAGGGTAGCAGAGAGAAACAAAGAGGGGAGGAGGAACTAGACAGAAGAAATAAATAACATCTAAGAAAAGTTCCACAAAAATAAAAAAGAGCCTGTTTGACTTTTCTTGGGAGATGTAAATATCTACTTGTCCTTGGGCAGGACCCTGATGACAAAGCAAAGAAATTACTTTGCCCAGTCCAGCCAAGGGCATTTAGCGGGGTTACCTGCAGGAGCACAGACAGCCAATGGGTAGCAACACTTCTGGAAAGTCTCCTCTTAGCAATAGTTTACAGCTTATACAGCCTCAAGACAGGAGTCATCTCCTGCAACATCCCATGAGTCCCTCACTGTTCCCCAGGGAACTTTAACAGATCCAGTCTTGTTAGGGTCTCTCACACAGGTTATCACAGCTGCTCTAGTCCCAAGATGGCAACTGCTGTGTCTCCATTAGAGGACAACATGCCACAATAACCCCAAATAGGCTAGATTCCTCAAACCAAAAAAATAAATAAATAAAACATGGCTAGATACACTTTGTTTAATAGGCGACTGTCGGGAGCCAAAAGTTATGAGGAAGATTAAACCACATGCTATGAACCCAGAAGTGAAGGCAAGGAGTGTATCAGACATCTGATGAGAGAAACATGCGCACTGAGAGAAGCCAGCCCACCCTGTGAAACTGAAGGTGTTCCTCAAAAGTTAAATGATAGAGACAGACACTTCACTGTCCGTAGATACACACCATCAGAGATGATACAAGGAGAAAAACTGGGAGCCACATGAGGGCGGGGGGGGGGGGGCTGCAGGAAGTGCTCAGTGAAATTTAAGAATGCTCCGGAGAGGAAGGTGCTCAAAGCAGTCAGGGGACATGCTTGTTCGAAGATGACATGGATGGAGCTGGCACCAGCTAGAGAAGGCAGCGAGTAGAACTTGGAAAGTGATGTACAATCACCAGAACACAGACTGTGCTCCCAGAAACCCCCACTTCCCTTAGCAGAGAGAAAAGGCCTCTGCCGGTGACAGGTACACCAAAGGAGGCTCCACAGACATCTCCTGAGATGTGGAGAGAACAACATTCTGGAAGATTTCAGGGGCCCAAAGAATGGAGGCTTCAGAAGTGGGCAACATATGGGTAACAGGAGCCCTGGACAAACACCGCAGGCCCGTGGAAGCACCCTCCTTCTCAAGGAGGACAGGGGTGCATCTGCCCAGATCATCCAGAGGCTCCAGCTGAAATCTCACAACTCATCAGAAGGAATGAATACCCGTGAGATTCTGACCCAAGAAAGAAAATGGAATTAGGGAAAAGTGGCATCCAAGCAAATGCAGGTGGAAAAGGGTTTTACAGTAAGTGTAGAAGGCTGGCCATGTGGGAGAATATCGAAGAAAAGAGCTTGCCACCAAGCCTGACAATCTGAATTCAGTCCCCAGGACTCGCGTGGTAGAAGAGAACCCACTCTGTAAGTTGTCCTCTGATCTACACACGTGTCATAGCGTGCACATACACACGTGCGCACACATGTGCACACACACATACATTGCACAGACACGGCACATGCACACACGCATACACACACACACACTAAAATGCAGTTTTTGAGGGGAGTGTAGAATAACATAGCAAAGGAAATCAGAAGCAAATTCAAATGCATCAGCCATTACAGTAAACATGAGTAGATTAGACCCTCCAGGTAAAAGACAGAGATTGTTTCTGTTTACTTGCTTCGAATCCTGCTTCATGCTATCTTGGGCCTAATTTGGACCTTTGCCTGTCTTTTAATAAACCTTTATTGGCTTCTTGTCCACAGGTTGCCTTGCACTGTTTGGTGCTTCGGTAGCAGGGATGGGTGTTTGTGACAGAGCCCAGACAGAACCCAGGATGTTAATATATTTACTAAACGGGCATTTATAGAACAGTTTGTCAAGCTTTGGTTCTAAAAAGCATAAAGAATAGAAATGTTGAACATAAAAGGTTATGGAAAATACACCCAGCAAATCCTGACCAAAAAGCTCCCATGAGATTTGGTTAAGATAAAAATACCTGTAAACGTAGGAAACATTATTTTTAATAAAGAACTCCGGGCAGGGGCCTGGCCAGCCTCATGGACTTCTGGGGGAACCTTCTAAAGCTACCCCAACCCCAACAGAAGATCTAGACGTTCCGGTCCTCCAAGAAGATGTGACAGTCCTCAGCCCCTGGGTAGCACAGAGTAAAACCTCAAAACTTCAAAATCAATTGATCCCAAGGGGGCCCGGGTCCCAAGACACAAGGAAAGTAGAATGGATGATTCTGTTTTGATACGGATTCCCACCCAGCCTCAGACCCACAGGGCATGCTTAGCTTTAAACGTATATGAGACAAAGCTGAATGTTCTCAAGCAGTTTTTATTCTCTCATTTTTATTCCTCTGCTTATATGTATCTATCTTTAGGTATCATTTCTTTATTGTGTAATTTTATTTTTCTTTTGACATTTTCTTTCTCTTTCATCTTAATAGTTTTCTCCTTTTTTCTTTTTCCTTCGTTTATTTAATCTTATTGAATCTTTCTTTCCCTTTCCTTGCACTGCTTCCTCCCCCCCCCCCCCCCCCATCAGTGATACGCACTGACTCCCATCACAGACGGAGGTGTCTTGGCTTGGCCGGCGGTCCCTGTGCTAATACTCCTGTCTTTATAGAGCACCACACCAATTCCTCCTGGTCAGTTAGGAACCATGTCAAGATCTGGGAGAGCTCCTGTGTCATGTGCATGCATCTGCCTGAGTGCTGTGTCCACCTGACGGAAGGATGTAAGCTGTCCCGATGAAGAACTAGGTACACTGTGGGGAATAAAGCCCTTGGGATGAAGGCCGGGTGGGAGAAGGGCCGCAGCAGAAGCTCAGCCTCAGGGCCCTTCAGAGGCCCAATGCACGAGTCATAACCTCCATGGTGCTAGGGCAGGGCTCAAGAAACCCCAGGGCAGGGTTGGCACCGCTGCAAGCGGGGCTAAGGCTCAGGAGCAACTTACATGAACCCACGGTCACTGCATATTCCACTGAGGGCCACTGAGCTAATGACATCCTCAGCTCCTATCCAAATGGGACAGTAAGGTCATTA